ATAATAACTGCAATATAATCTTTTCTGGTTTCTTATTTCTCTCAAGAGGAAGAAAAATAGTGACTGAAAATCAAAAGTTGAAGTTGGACCTTTTTATCACAGCTCGACACGTTTGTATTTGTGCCGTCGCGCCTTCACGCTGTGAGAAATGGCTGTTTGTCAGACTGGTTCATGCTGGAAAATAATTACAGGTTACAAAGTATCAACAGCATGAAGAAAACCCAAGGGCTGCAGGAGGTAAATAAACAGTCTAATGATGCAGACATGTGCGACTGGACACGTCATTATCACACAGCTGCTCAAATCACGCTAGTGCTGTGTTTCCAATTCCAACCAGGTTTCCAAACGTGGCTTGGGAGTTTTTATTTTGATTTGTGTACTGTATAATGGAATCCTTTCAAATTTTCATTGGCTATGGCTTGCTCAAAAACTTCAAGAGAAACTCACATTAGACGTATAGTCCAAAAGTAAAGTCATCTGTGACATAATAGAGTCAAATGATCCAACTCGGACTCCTGCTGGTGCTCAGAGTCAGAATTAAACATGGGGCGGCAGCATTTCAGATTCACACAGCAATAATCTGGAATAGTCTTCCTGACAGTGTTTAAATCCAGGTTAAAAACAGTTCTGTTTGTCTGTATACGACTGAGCAATTTTATCGTCACTTCTTTTACTGTACTGTGATTATTTATGATTTTAAAGCCTTGTGTAATTGTTTCCATCTTGTTTTGTTCAGCACTTTGAGTTGCCTTGTGTATGAATTGTGCTCAAGCCCCAGCGATCCAAGATGGCGCTGTATTCAAATAATGGTTTGTGTTAAGATAAGATAAGATAAGATAAACCTTTATTCGTCTCACAGTGGAGAAATGACAGTGTCATCGTTGCGCACATTACAGCAGAGAAAGGAAATAAGAGCACTCAGATTGCACACATCAAATAAGTCTATTATTAAGGATAATAGACAATAAAATTAAGATACAAATAAAATAAAAGGAGATAAACTCTGGGCTATAATTGCACTTGGTTCAGAAGTATTTACAAATGTGTATATTATACATTAGCAGCGGAGAATATGAGAATATGAATATGAGCAGAATAATATATCAACAGGTAAAGTGACTTGAATGGGAGAATTATCAGATGTATATGTAATAATACAGTCAAATATCAACAGGTATAGTGCCGGTGAAAGGCAGAAATATCAGATATGTATTAATGCGGTAGTACTGATAACAGTTAAAGTGACTAGTGACAAAGTTACTAGTGAATTATCAGTGACACTTGTGCAGACTCAGCAGTTCCTGTTAGACATTCTCGTTGTACAGTCTGACAGCAGCAGGAAGGAAAGACCTACGGAACCTCTCCTTCACACAGCGAGGATGAATTAGTCTGTCACTGAAGCTGCTCTCCAGAGCAGAGAGAGTGTCCTGCAGGGGGTGACAGTCATGGTCCAGCATAGATGTTAGTTTGTCCAGGACCCTCCTGTCCCCCACCTGCTGCACTGTGTCCAGGGAACAGCCCAGGACTGAGCTGGACTTCCTGATGACCTTGTCCAGCTTCTTCCTGTCCCTCTCTGTGATGCTGCTCTTCCAGCAGACCACACCGTACAAGAGGCTGATGCCACTACAGAGTCATAGAAGGTCTTCAGGAGTGGCCCCTGCACTCCAAAAGACCTGAGCCTCCTCAGCAGGTAGAGCCGGCTCTGGCCCTTCTTGAAGGAACCTGTAGAACATGTGCCAGCATGGACGCTGACATATTTGCGGAACTTTGGGCATCGTCTGGTCCTACCGGTTCTGGGCAGTGGATGAGCTCCCATGATGTGTTGCGCCAAATACGCGTGTAAGACTCTCATGCATGTGCACAGAGGAGCTCGGCCGCGCTCTGACCAATCAGAGCTGCTGATCAGAGCAGAGCTAGAGCGGAGCCAGAGCGGGAAGGAAAACAGCAGAGTTCGTGGCAGTAAAGTCTGGATTTAAAGAAAACCGAAGGTATTAAGAAGAAATAAAGTTCAGGATGCCATGAACACTAAAATCCCCACAAAATACAATCTCTCTGAAAGCTGTAGGTTCTCTGTCAGCTGAGGTCGTGCTGTATTAATTTACATTGAGTTCTATGGGACTTTTTTCTGGGTAGCCCATGTGAATTTAGTCTGCAGTACCGCGGGCGCCCCCTGTGCCCATGGGTGGGACAGCAATAAGGTAGTAATACCCTATCCAGTTATTATTATAGATCCATGACTGTGCTATACAAATAAACTTGCCTTGCCTAATTTCCAATAGTGGAGGTTGGCTTTGTTGGGACCTTCTATATGTTGACGTTTGTCCTGGAAAAATACACAATAAAAGGTGTAAATTAACTTTCACAAGTTTCACAACATTTACCCAGACAAATGTTTGATGAGGAATGAATCAATAAATACATTATTACTTGAATGCAATGTTAAATAAACCTGTAATTGCATTGACTTTGTTGAAGGTTTGTAGTTGGGCGATACGAGTATTTGAAGGTTATCATGATGTCAGCTTCCATTGTCTCCGAAGCACAGGGCATTGGACAAATTGAAATGAGTCTGTAATGGGCTCAGAATGTATCAGACAAAGAAATATTGCATAAAACATAATAACCGAAAGACTGTTTGAGAGACGGGCAGTCACTGGAGCGTATCTGAAGGTCTTACAGTCCAGTAATCCAATCAGGCTTTATCACACAACCTTTGAAAAACAACCTCCACAAATTTATTTCCTGATAGTGACTTATTCAGTGCTTTATCCCTGTCCTTCAAAAATGCTACTATAATAATCTGTATTGCTAATTTCATATTCATAAAAGCAACGGTTGCTAACGGTTGATAATAATGCAGCTTTCTTCTTTACAATGATTACTTCACTTCGTAGTGGTGATAGAAACTACTACAGAAGCCACAGCTGCCCTGGGGTACACTGACAGAAGCGAGGCAACCACCAAACATTCACACACACCAGACTCATTCAGGGCAATGCGGGTGAACACATTACAGCCGCAGCCGCCCCACTGTGGCACCTGGTGTTTCTAGAGGTCTCCCATTACAGTACTAACCAGGCCTTTCACTGATTAACTGACTGAACCCACAGACGACAAATACAAAACAAGCAGAGTAGTATAAGTTGCTATTAAAACCACATTCTGTTAGTTTCATTCACAAAATTCTATTATTTTCGTGGCTGCAGTAGAACACAGTCAAAGTTTTCATGGCTTTTTTTACAGTTGGATTTGAGACATGTTCTGCTCCAGTATGATTCGATCAAACCTCTCATATTGGTTTCCATCGGAGCTGAACAAATGTCTCCCCCCGACACGCGTGCTTGTTCCTGCAATGTAACAAGACTGCATGAATACCAAACGCCCCGAGTTCACCTTGCCCGGGGCTGCGCTGTGCCAAAGTGAGGAGGGCGCGGTGTGGATATACAAGCTTGGAATCCAGCTGAGATCTGAGGCAGCATGGTCTGGTGGTAGAACATATGTTAAAAGTTTACAGCTGACGATGTACGCTCAGAAGGACAGCACATGAATGAGATTTGTTCAAAAAAGTGAAACAAAATTACTGAAATTATTATATAAAATGTGCAATATGAATGGAAATGTCTTTTGTTTTCATAATCAAAAATAACCCATGCTTTGAATATATGTAAGAGCTGTAAGGGATAAGTAAGGGTGGTCCTCTCATTCTCACTTTTCTGTCTGAATAAGCTGATGTGGCAGAGGCCAAAGAACACTGGTGATAGAACCAAAACTGCTGTGAGAGCAAAGGAATAGCAATGGATTGGATTTTATAGCAGCAAGAGCTCTGGTGTGAGCCGTCTTCTCTGTCTGGAGCACACCGGGGTTGTCTTGCACAGTTTTTCTAATGTGGTTTTACTGAAAATGGCAACAAAAATCTTGTATTGTGCATTTCTAATTTATGTGGTATGAAAGTTTAGTACCCCAGCTTTAAACACCAGCAAAAATTTCCAAGTTTATTCTGTAAGTACGTAATTTTAGTCATTCACAGCACAGTATATCATTGTAAATAGTACCACATTCTTTAAAAGTGATGCTTATTCACACAGAGAATGTTTTCATTTACCTTTAATGTGTTATGGCAGTGTGTCTGCAGAGATGTGTGAGGAATTATCTTTCTGCCTTGATTCTTTCATTTTCCAGTTCAGGCCAGGATTAAACCCAGGTGGTCAAAGAGGCTTCCCAAATGAGTATTCAGGCTCCCAGTCTAACTACAGCCCAGTATTGAATATAGACATTTAAATTGATTTACATGTGTAGCATACATGTAAAAAAGGTAAATTATAAGTAAACTTTCCAGCTTATGTACTAATATCTCGACAGCATAATTCTCTACTTTGCTGAAATGTTGGAACCAGGGCGAGAGGCTTCTCATGAGCGCCGAGCGTATTAGAAAAGCGTCCAATTCTTTTCCTCTAAAAACTCATTAATCTCCCTGTCTACTCCACTGGTCCTAACTATGTTTATTTAATCAGTTGTGGTGCATTGCCACAGTGAGAATTAAGAAGCAAACTAAAAAGAAAACTATAAATACATGCATACAATAAGACTTTATTTTGAAAGATGTGTACCTACTGCAGATTTACTTTGCTTTCTCAGGCAAGTCTATAGTAAATGCTTTTGCTCAAATGGTATCAATGCTATGATAAATGTGTGTGCTTTATACGTTTAAATACCCTTTTCTGTCCTGGTTCCAACTGGCTTTGTTCGTGTTGTGTCATGTCCCCCTCCTGCTGCTTCCCACCTGCTTCCAACAAAATGCAAGGGATTCATTTCCGCAGCCTTTGATCCATCTTTTTTGAAATCTCGCTTGCTAAATCCAGTCCAAAACAACACTAAAAAGGAATAGTTTTACATATTTAAGATAACAAACCAGCGTGATGCGAGACACACATGTTTAGTAATTCATTTTCTCTTTATTTGTGCATTCAATTGTATCTGTAAGACCTTAACTCTGACTCCAGACTGGGAAGACCAGGCGTGGACTGCCACTGTCAACACGAGAGTTCAGCGGCCGTTTTACAACTTCAGTTTCTCATCAACGAAGTAAGTGAACTTTAATATCATGTCTCTGCTGCATCATGTCACTGTTGTTCTTCCACTTTGACTAGAAGAGGAATCTACACTGTTTTTAAAGGTGGCTTATTTAATGTATTTTATACTTGTTCTGAGAGTTAGAGTTTTTGTTATTATTTTAATTACTATAGCTATTGGTCACTTATCTTGTGCTTCTCATTCCTACTGTTCTGTGACTTCTGCAACACAGACATTTCCCCGCTGTGGGATGAATATAGGATCTCTTCAAAGTATTTATGGAGATGTTTGTAGGGTTGGCTTGGAAGGGGGAATTTGCACTCGGTCTTTCAGTCTGAATTTGCGCCTTCAGCTTCATGACATTTGTCAACACTTATAGAGACTGGTCATCTGCTCCTTATGGACCAATACCAATCTGTTTTCTGATCCATATCTTGTGTTTAAACTGATGTGATTTAGGGCTATTCAAGATTACATTGATTTCAATTAAATGGAAAGTCGATCTAATGTAGATTTTCTTTTTATACAATATTTTTTTTTGACGGTTTGGAACGTCATGGCTGCAGGTGCCCAATTGCGGCACCTGGTGTTCCCAGAGGTCTCCCATCACAATACTAACCAGACCCTGCCCTGCTTACCTTCAGAGGCCTGTTATCATGAAGTGGATTATGCTTGTTTCTTTTCAGTCAGTGAATGTAACTATAAAAGATATTGCAAAACATGCATCAGCTGTGGGAGTACAGTATTATATTCCTTTTTTATTGAGACTTTAAATCAGATTACTTCAAATTAAATTACACATTATTCCACTAAAAAAAGTATAAACATTTCAACTTCATTGCCAGAAATAGACCTATACAACGGTATCTTCTCTACACCACTTAAAATGACTAAGCACTTTGTTATTGACTGATGCTAATCTACTCTCCACAGTGGGCAATTACATTTCATTTCATTTGAGAAAAACTAGATCATTATTCAAAGTTGCATCACTTATTCGGTCTTGAATTGTCGTTTATTACTCCTCTTTAAGGCTGCGGTCACATGCGCACCCTAATGCCCAGTTAAAGTCCGCCTAAGCCCACTTCGCGATTAGATCTGGGCTTTAGGTGCTATGTGACCGCGGCAAGTGGGCTTGGGCACGGTTGAGGTATGTGGGCCAGGGCCTGCTTTTAAAGCCCAGATGAGGGGGGGTCAGTGTGGCGGGTGGCGGGGAGTGGGGGATGAGGTGTGGTGGGGACTTGATTTTGTGCGTCACATTACGTCTTCCATTGTGACGGGCCTTTTCACACACGTCTCTCCTGCACTTTTGTATTCTCCGCTTGTGTTAAACCTTAAAGCTGCACTAACTGACTTTATTTTCGTATTAATTACGAAAATGCTATCCATGTCCATGTAGTGCATTGGGATATACGTCCTTTTGAAGAAAAAGTAGCGCAGATTTGTGCTGGCCTGACATTATATTTTTGATCGAGTTTTGATGAAACAAGGAAGAGAATGTGTTTCGGGTCGCAGATTGTGACCAATCACAGCGCACCACTAGCCCCCACTTTCGTGAGAAATCTCCAGGTCCGTTAGCAAAGACAGCTGAGTTAGCACAACAAGCGGCGGAGCTAACCTGAAACTTTCTCGTCTTCGTCACCGGGTACTGCTTACACAGCAAAACGGCCATCAGAAAGAAAGTCTCGTTCCTCCGCGCTTCCCGGTTCTATTGTTCTATGGTCACGCCATCTACGTGAAAATCCATATCCATGTATTATCTATATTGGGAGAGGCTAGCTCTGTCTCAACACTGTGTGTGTGTGGGGGGCGATAGCTTCGTGGGTGCGGGGAGGGGAGCAGAAAGAGCGAGGCCAGCGAGTCCGCGGCTTCAAAATCCCAAAGTCAGTTAGTGCAGCTTTAAGCCCCCGGACTGCGGTCGCGAGGCGCAGGGGGGTGTGTCCTCCTGACCCTCGCTCTCTTAGTGTGGTGCTTTTGCAATAAGACTTGAGACATTCAAGAATCAGTCACCAACACACACTTGAATCCTGCCTGGCTCCGGTCGCTCTGATCGTACGCAACACTTTTCATTCTTTCATTCTCATTCATTTATGTCTCAGCGCTCTTGCGCTCGTTACGTAAGAGGCGCGCTCCCGTGTCCGCGGCGCACACACACAAACACACGTGTGCACACACGTTACCCACTGAACTGCTGCACTTTGCATCAGAGCAAATGTGTGCAGTGTGAGATGTGTCTTTCCCCCTTTACTCGAGCTGTTAGCTACAGAAGCAGAATGTAAACAGGAAGAGAAACGGAAACTTAACTCAACAAGGTCGTTGCTGGAGTTAGTGTGAGTGCCACCAGCTGGACCGAGCGTTTTACTACAGCACAGTTGCTCTGGCACGGTTAAAAGAACAAGCTCTTGTGACCGTGGGCCGTACTTCACACCCCTGTGGCGACGATGCAGACCACTTGGCTTAGTTCGTTTGTAAAACCTGTGTGACCGTGCCCTAAGCATTCAACAGCTAATCAACATTTAATTCAATAATGATAACCAACATATATGTATAGGCACATTGTTGGTTAGGGAAAACTGTAAAATCCACCTTTTTTACCCTGTTCTTCTTATGCAACCATCGTTTTCTGGAGCCCACCTCCTCTGCTCGCTCTGATGTGCTGAAGGCAAATTAGGCAGACGGCTCAAGCGGGGGTTTTGAAGTATCTGAACACTGAGGATGCATGCACCTGCGACGCATTTACTCCATAGATTAAAGGTGTCTGCAGATATCACAGGTTCCAGCTCTTGCAGTTGATCAATGCTGTTTCTAAAGGTTTTTTAAAGAGGTCTGGTTTCTTAGTCTTGGCTCGTTCCTGATGTCAGACACAGTCACAGACCAGTGTCTTCATGTGGACTTGCCTCTCACAATATCTATATTTGGCCATAGCCTTGCTGACAGACGTTGCAGGGCATCAAATATGAACCAAGTATAACCCTCCAGGTGCCACGGTTGACTTAAGCCGACAAGGTGCAATGTTTAAAACGGCAGATTGTGTCAAACAGGGTCTGGGCAGGCTGCTCACAGTAGGGGCAGTCATGATTTGCACTTTTCTTACTATATGTATATGTCCAAGTGATTTGCATGTCTGTCAGTAAAAAGAAAAAAAATCATGAACATTTTAAAATCCATGACTGCCACCGCTGTATGACGTCATAATATGAAAATTAGATTGGCAAATTTCATCCCGACACAAACTTTTGCCCATTCGTAATATTTATCTAATTTACAGAAAGCCTCAATCTCTTATCACATTTAAGTTATAGCTTTTTGAAATCAAAATGAAACATCATAGAAAAAAAACCTAACTTTCTAACCCATGTAGGTAATAATAATAATTAAAGCCGCAAGCGGCGATGAAAGGCCTCGCCACTCTTGCGACCGCCTCCCGGGCGCCAGTCCCACAAGCGTCACGCAGCGTACTTGCCGACGAATTGGCAGCCCGATCTGACCAGGGTTACGTACATAAAAGTTCATTAATATGAAAAAGTGCGTCCCTAGTGGTCACCTCCGGGACATGCACCCTCTACGTAGAGTAGTATTTTGCTCGTACAGATGTCAAGATTTGATTTTGCAACTTTGGTGAAGATCGGAAAAGTTTAGGTCAGAAGCCTTCCATAGGTGGCGCTGTAGAGCCATATTAGGTGTGTGTTTTCACACCATGTGAAAGGTGTAGGACTTTGAAACGTGTTTGAAATGATGCTTCATGAACTATGAACTATTTGAGTCTTTCAGTCAATTGTGTTGATACAACAAACACATCCAAAGTAATACAGAAGACAGTAATACAGAAGAAAAACTACCAAGAGGTGGATTAATTAAACACAACAAACCATCAGTGTTGTTCCAGTTCACAGCTTTTCTGAACTAGTTCAAGTTCAGTTCATACATGCTCAAAGTGAACAGTTCACGTTCAAAGTTCACATTTTTAATTCTGAACTAGTTCAAAGTTCAGTTCATTTTACTTTTTTCGTGAGATACTTAAATACATATGTTTTTCACACTACGAGCTATATATATATATATATATATATATATATATCTCCTGTACACCCACAGGAGGAGAGCCTTTTGACTACAAAACAGACAAGATTTACATGGTTTTCAATGGGAGCATAACGGAGTTGTCCCATCTCTGCTCATAAACTACAAACAGTAATGCGCTGCAGTGCGTGTGTCTATACTTTATGTCAAATGTAAACGGTGTAAACTTTGTCCATAACTCACCCTGTGTTTTCATCACGACTCGGGCACATGTGAAAAGCACCAGCTCACAGCGCCGCACCGCAACACGGAGTCGGGGTGCGTTCACAGACGGTGGAAACCGTAGGAATTGTTAGATTTCGGCGGAAAAAGTGTGAGAATACAGGAGGGAGGAACTTTCTCTCGTTGCGTTTCAAAAGAGAAAACCGATTCCAACGTTCATAGTGATGTCTGCCGTTCATGACACATAAAATGAACTAATTCACGTTCAAGTTCTTTTTTTAAAAATGTGTTGCGTTCAGTTCAACGTTCACGAAAAAATGAGCGTGTTCAATGAACGCGTTCTTTTGAACTCGTTCACGCACAACACTGCAATCCATTTATTCCCAATAAATAAATACATTTACTTTGCAACACAAAAGTTATTATGGGTAAGCACTTTGACAGTCCTGTCTGTTTTTTAAAATATGCTATATAAATAAACTTGACCTTGATCAGTTAATGAATGCAAAATAACTTTCTTCAGCTAAAAGCAAAACTTAAATGATAGTCTTTTGTCCAAACAAAGAGAGAGAGTTATCTTATTTCTCTCCCTAAAACCTTCAAATCAGGTCAGAAATGTAGGAGTGATAATAGACAAACACTTAAACAGCCACATCAAATAAGTAACATTAGCAGCTTTTGACCATCTGAAGAGCCTAAAGCATTTGTCTGCAGTAGGTTGGACTGCTGTAATGGCCTGCAGGTGGAAATTAGCTTTGCTACAACCTGGT